CCAGCTCCAGGTCGACCTGTTGTTCACCATCTTAGCTGTAGAGGGCGCAGCGTCACTGGCCCTCATGTGGGATCTGAACTGGCGGCCCTGCTGCTCAGAGCTGGCGTCCCAAGCCAACCCTTAACCAATTACGTGCCACTCGGCTGGCCCTTGAAGTCACCTTATTTTGGTGATACATCTCCCTCTTACTCTCCATTGAGGGTGATTTTGCCCACCCCAAGGGCAAATTGCATTTGTCAGTGTCTGGATATTTTGGGTTGTTACAACTTGGAGGGTGGTGGCGGTCCTACTGTAATCCGATGGGTAGAGGCCAGGGATGCTGCCAAATGTTCTACAACACGTGGGACATTTTCCTGCAGCAAAGAATTATCTGACCGAAATGTCAGTAGCACTGCCTTATGAAAACCCTGCCCTATAGCAACCATGAACATTTCAAACTGAGTTAAAATTCAGGTCATTTCTGTAAGAAAAGAAAAAAAGGGGGTTGAAAACTAGATTTACACAAATGTCTTTCAGAGTGTTTAAATGGTACATGTTGGGGTTGGAGGGAGGGTAGGGGGGCGGTGGTTCCATGTCACACACTGACTTCACCATTGTCACTGAGTCTTCTTGGCCCGTAAGTCAGCTGAGTTGCCTTAACAGTGTGATCCAGCTTGTCATCATGGCCAATTGTTTCAGGGTAGCTTTGGCTGTAAATACGAGTTTGGGTTATGACTCTGTGGGCTTTGTTTATGGAAGGAAAGTCATAAAAAGTGAGTGGGGGTCACAAATCACGCCAGGTATTGCCTGCACACAGACATAATTTACACATTCCCTCAGCGTTCTCTCGCTGTTTTTCTTGGATCTTTAAATTTCCTGCACAGCTAGCATATTGGATTTTCATAATTGCTACCGCATTTCTTGTAATGTACACTCATTTCCCAGAAACCTCTAAAGAGCTTATTGTTTGTCATGGAGAGCAGACCGGAAGCTTCCCACAAGCTCTGAAGGAGCATTTAGCAGTGCTCTGTACTCACGGCAATTCTTATTTAAGGCATGAAGGCATGAAAGAGCATCAACATCTAAAACTTCCAGAACATTTTTCAGTGCCCTCTTCCTTCTGTGCCCCCAAGGAAGAGTCTATAGTAATTAATCCTTTGAGGAGGCTCTGTGAGCGTTTTTGGATTCTAGAAGCTCCTTAATTGCCATGTTTCTCAGTGTTTGACATGTTTGAAATATGTCTGAATTAAATATATATATATATATATATATATATATATATATGT